AAATGACAATGACTGAACATCGGGGATTGGTGAGAAGACATTTTTCGATAACTGGAGGCTGTGGTGGAAGGTGAGCCTCGATTTCTTCAATAACTGTGGGTGTGATTTTTTTCATCTCCACATTTAATGTTGTCTCGAAACATTTAGTAACTTATAAAAAAATTTTATGTAACTAATGTTTGACATAGATATTTGTTTTTAATACTTATGCTATTACGTACTCAACTACATCATAGCACGTGTATTGCACGTGCTTCTGACTAGTTTAATCAAAAAATGAAAAATTTGGGATGTGCACTGGTATTATTTTTTGCTGTGATAATGAGACCAACTAGTAAATAGAGATGAATGGGGTTGGCTAGGAGATAACCAAATTTTGCTTCATTTTTATTCTCACACACACACACACTATTTTCTTTCTTTTCTCAATCTTCTTCTTCATTCAACTTCAACAGCTCCATACTTTTATTTGAGGTGGAAATTATATAACTTTTCATATTTTGATGACTAGAGAAAATTGCTACCAATAAAAAATTGACATGGAAATGATATGCTACAATTATTTAAGTTGGACAATTTGAAACCTAATAAAAATAGATTATTGTAGCCCAAGTTAAGGGCATATGGCTGTATAGAAGGTGAGTAACAGAGGGAGAGAAGGTGGTAATAAAGACACATTTGCATATTCATAAGAACAAATCAGGCAAAGTAGACTTTCTATTCATTTATTTTCCTTGCTAGGTAAATAACCCATCCCTTGAGATTGATTAATGTTGGATTAAGTAGATATAGTGATTGGATAACATAATACCTCGTACTTAGGGTGGGCAAAAGTTATCAGAACAATTAGATCGAATTAGAATTGGATCAGGGTTGGGACCAACCGGTTCGGTCTGATTCTACCCAAATTCTAATCGATTTTGAGTATTAAAATTGAGAATTGGTTAGTTCTAGTCCGATTCTTGATTCTAATACCAAGAATCAAAAATTCGATTTAACCCAAAATTTTACTTTTTATTTTTAGCGATGATTGAGGCAATGCACCAAGCATTATACTTTTTTCTTATGAATTTTAACAAAGACATCAAAAACTCATACTCAAAATTGTATGGTGTTATTTATAAACTTATACAAATGATCTATTAAATTCTATAAATGTAATTTTAGATTAATAAAAGGTTTGGGTTCCTTTCTTTAATTCCTTTCCAAGTCAACATTTTCAATCCCTCAAAGTATGAAGAAAATAGAAGCCATATTGAAGCATGTTTTTAAAGAACTCATTCAATCCTATATTAGTTAAGCATTTGATGTAAATTGTAGCGTTTATTGTAAATTGGAAAATTCAAATTATTAGCAATTATGAATTATTTTGATCACTAAATTATGGAGAATTTAGATATTAAATCTCTTAATATCTCATATATAGTTAGACATTTTATTTGCATAAGCTAGTGATTTTGAGAACTTGACACGAGGAATAGAATTGGATTGCCGAACGGTGCGATTTCGATTCGATTTCATACTTAGAGATGAAACTAATGATTATACTTTCAAAATATTCATTGGTACTCGATTCGGTTCAGTTCGATTCTCTATGAAATTGGACCAAATCGAACTTCGATCACTTCTACTCTTATTCGTATATGAGATGATTAGAAAATATAATAAAATAAAATTTTAATTTTTTTACTACGACGTCCGTCATATTGAACCAACCATAACTAAACAACAACTTAAATTTGTTACATACATCATACATCATTTTTCAATTGTGTATTCACATTTTTTCATAACTTTTCCTTACTTTGTAGTCATACCATTTTAAAAAAGATTATGTTTCATAAAACCAATTTCTAGGCTAAATAATATTTAGGCTTTGTCCGGTAGAAATTAAAATTAAGATTTCAATCTAAATTATAGTTAACAATTAATTTTAATTACATATTTTATAGGACTCACAACTTTCAATCACACATTTCATCAATTTTTTTTATTTATTTATCAAAATCTGATTTTCATTCCTACCAAACAGGGCTTAAATTAGTTTTCTTTTCACTTTTTCTTAACAAAATAATCATTTAATTACAACAAATATAATTCAATAGCCGAATAACTAGTTCACAAATTCAGTAAGGACATCAATAATGATAGATGTACATGTTGCCTTACCACATGATTGATATATCCATGATGTACGTGTAACATATTGGAATGACATCGACTTGAAGCAAACCTTGAAATCGTCATAATTCCAAATTAATTCATCGGAGAGGAAATATTCTGTATCATATAACAAATTTCAATCATGCTTGGTGTATAATGTTATTGACAATTAGCCACGTGATATGTTGTTATTAAACAGTTTAACAAATAATTTATCTTTTCAATTAACATATTTTTGTCACCTACGATTTGTCAATAATGTTGTTGGAAAAAATTGTACAAATAGATTCATCCAACAATTATACAATTACAGAATCTTTTGATAGAAAATTGTACAAATAGATTCATCCAACATATTAGACAATGCATGCACAAATTCTGTAAAGTTTATTCTGACCTCGCGACTTTATCCATTTTACTCTCAGTTTCCAAATAAAAGAAGATTTCTTAGGTCAGTTGCCACACATTTTGCTTTCCTCGGCTGCCCCAAATGCAAAGCTCATATCTCTTCGTCTACAACCTCTTTCAGGCCTTGGGATGGTAATTCTCTCTCTACTTTTCTCTTTCTCTCTCTCTCTCACACACACACACACATTTTGACCTTCTGTTTGTGTACTGTGCAGGGTAATTTCTCTATTCAAAATTTTGAGCAACTTCTTGTCGACTAAATCTGTCAGTGGGACTTACACTTCCGCGGGAGAACTAATTTGTAAGTACTCAAAAACGAATTAAAAATTTCAAATTTTCAAAACCCACAATTGAAATATGCATATTTTTAGTTCAAGAGATTAGAGAATTTGACATATATATATGAGATTAGAGAATTTGACATATATATATATATATTACACATACATATATATACTTTTAACAGTTTTCATGATTTTCTGTGATTGGTATTAAGGTGTGTTGCAAGCTACTGCATTCTTGGAAGTTATTCATGGGGTTATTGGTAAATAAGCTAATTGACTAATTCTTGTGGTGCTTTGATTAATAAAGTTTTAATAGATTTATTAAAAAAAATTGCTTAATTTAATTCCGGGTGTTGAATTTCAAGGCATTGTTCCGAGCGGTGTGTTACTTCCTTTGATGCAATGGGGTGGAAGGACTCACTATTTGCTTGCTATTGTTCGTCATATTCATGAGGTTAATACGCTCACTTTTGTAGCCTTCACTTATTCATTTTAACTAATAGCCAAAAGAAAGCAAGGACATGGCAAAAGCATATTTTTGTATCGAATGAGCTTTTGTTGTAAATGGTGTAATTTTATTAATGGATGTTTATGTAATGAACACTTTGAAGTGCTTGGATGGTGTGCCACGTGGGACATTTCCAACTTCTCGAGTAACGAGACAAGAGTTCCAAACCTAGCTTGTTGATTTTAGCTGAAGTAATCAATTGCTTGGATGATCGCCCTTTATCCAGTTGTTTGGTGAAAAACACTCCCATGAGTTGATTTGGTATAATGGGTAAAATTAGCTCCTGATAAAGATATAATGGAGTCATAGCGGCGGCCACAAGTCTTTCTTCATTGGTTCATATTGTGCTTCCCATCGAACTCGGTATGGTCATCTGGGAAGTCCTTCCGAGGATGATTCCATACAATCTGGGGAAAGCTAGAGAAGTGTCCGTGGGTAACCTAGTTTCCGGGGTAGTGAGACCAATAAGGAAACTTATGAGAGAGTATGTGAAAGATTAATTAAATTATCTACATATGACTAGCCTATTTAATATGTCGAATAATTAATGTGAGAATAAAGAGAGTGAAAATGGACATTATCTGGTGGAGGACTTTTAATACATGTTCGGTGCGCAATGAACACGATTTTAGTTTCATTTTCTTCTTTAATAATGTTGCGGTGCTATCTAGTCCTCCTTACTAGATATTATTTAATCTCTTTGTTTTCGTCAGACCATATTGAGGTTGCAATTCTTTTTTCTATTTCGTTTGCAAGTCATAAAAATTCGTTCTATTTTGTAATGTAGGTCCAAGAATTACCATCAGTTTTCATAACATTTTTTGCTTGGAGCTTATCTGAGGTTAGTTGGGATCTTATTTCTTTCCATTTCTCTTTTTGATTGGTTAAATATGTAAAAACCAAATTAATTGAAAAATCTAATCAATTTGAAGTGTAGATGAATAGCTTTATTATATCCATGGAGTTGCATCTTCTGCTTTTCTGAGACATATTCTTCAATAAATTAGTGTTATGCATAAAAGGCTACAAAGATTTGACATATTTTTCAGAATACTAGTTGTAAGAAACTTAATAATAAAGGAAAAAAATGTTATTCTTAGTTTGGAAGCACTATTCATACTAATCATAAGCTTATATTAGAATGATCGTGAGATGTTTTACATACATTTGAGACAATAAAATCGTTGTAAGTAATGAATTTTCATAATAAAATTTTGCAATATCTGAAAAAGTGATATGAGAGAAAACATATCTTCTTACTTTGTTAGAAAATTGCATTAGAGAATTATTGTCTAGAACTTGTATAAGGTATAGTGAAGTCATTTCTGTTCTCAAAAGGTCAAAAATATATGTCGTCTTGTGTTGCACACAAGTATGGCATGTTAACCAAAGCTTCATTGTCAAATCACCATGCCTAAAAACTTCGGACGATAGAATAAATATTGTCTTCAACATGTTCCTCATAGTAGTTTACATCAAAGTATTGGAACGTGCAGACAGCGAGACACGAACTCAGGATATTTGTCTGCTTTGATACTATGTCAAACAGCCACCATTTTTTCAATCTAATACAGTCCTAGTGCATCTGGTTTAGCTTACATGTCATCTTGATCATTTTTTAGTTTGTTTGTTTTTCATCTGATCAGTCCAATCATCTTTGACATGATACTAAATTTCATTATCATGTAATTGGATGCAGATAATCAGATATTCCCATTATGCGTTGAGTTGCCTGGGCCCTCCTCCCTATTGGATTACTTACGCAAGGTTTGATTTCTTTGTCTAAGTATAGAGAGGAACGTGAACTTGGTCGAGAGAATAGCCTACTTTTCGCATCTAATTTTTCAATTCGCAACAACTTTTTGTATTGTTAGGTATACTGCATTCATTGTATTGTATCCAATTGGAGTTTTTCCCGGTGAAAGTAAGACGCTACATTATCTTAGATTTGTATATTTCCGTACGCTTCCTTCTGTGTTACTCTATCGTTTCACCATCCTTAATATTCTCATCATGAAATTAAATGGGTTTTGTTATGTTTTGCAGTGTGCCTCATGTACCAAGCACTTCCATTTATAAAGAAGAAAAACCTCTACGTTGATAGCCTTCCTTTCAACTATTATTACTTCGTTGAGGTACAAATAGTAGCCTAAATATTCTAGCACTTATTTAGTTATTTCCTTACTTTCTAATTCTGTTTCACTTAGAAGAAGTCAAAAGATGTGCAATTCCTTTGTCAACTCGAGAAAGTTTGGGTTAACGACATCTGTAAAGTTTGGGTTAATGACATCTGCACTGTGAAAGCGAGTCAGATTTTTAAGTAAAACAATCTAAGGTTACTACCAAATCTGCTTGAAAAACGAAATTTTGATGCAATACAGTTATCTGTTTATGCTTAGCTATCTCTCTGTTTGTATAAATAGGTCTAAAAATTTAGAATCATAGAATGTATTCATCAAGCAGAGATTTTCTCTATGGATTCTGAAATTTAACTTTGGTCTAGAATCCCCATGCTTTCAAAATAAATAGAGCTTTCAACCGACTCCATATCGTCTTTGTTAAAATTATGCAGATCATAAATCATGGTCTACATTTTCCTTAGGAGAATTACTGGTTTTCCATTGGTCATGTTTCCTTAAGAGGTTTATAAAATATCTTCTCATTCATCCCATTATGCTAGTCATATTTTCTTCACATATAAAGGCTCGACTATGTACTCGGAACATTTCGTTGTTCATTTTCCGTGCAGGTTCTGCTTCTTTGCTATCCATTTTTGTGGTTGAAGCTTTACCTTCATTTATTCAAGCAACGGCGGTCAAAACTGGGTAAACACAAAAAGAAGCAAAACTGAACTTGAACAGCCATGCCAAGGCAAGGCAAAACCGGGGCCATACCGGTAGAGAAAGTGGGCTGGGAAGGGGCTCTGTGCCTGCTCGGCCGGCTTACTTAGAGTTATCAGGCAATTCTTCTTGGTCTGTGGATTGTGATCACAGAACCTGTCAATTTATTAAAGATTGTTTGTCCACAGCCAGAATAAGAACATGGACAAAGGAAAAATGTCTAGTATGTGAAATCTTGACGTGGTTGTAGACTTGTAGTTTAAGAAGTTATTTGGCAGTGTTTTTCTGATGAATTTTAGCCGAGGTGTTTATACAATGGGCTGTAAGACGTGAAAAGTACACTTGCATAGTCGTAATTTTATGTTTAGTAAGGTAAACTAAGCAAAGCTTGACATTATTAAAAAAGTAGTTGAAAATTTGTCTATTGTGCTTGCCCATTCTTTTCGTGTAATACTGTGTATCGAATATGTTTAACGTGCATTCAGACAAACATTTTTCCACTCACCTATCCGTTTCCATAACCCACCTGTTTGGTGCATAAACCTAAACTCTACGAACTTTTCTCAGTCAGAATGTTTTTTTAAGGAAAATTAGATGATACTAGATAACATTAAAGAAGAAAACGTGAATTCCAAATAAGGAAGACAATTGACAACAAAAATCACAACAAAGAAAAGCCAGAGGCTTTAAACGGGCTTTAGAAATTGAAAACAAAGATTGCACACAGTTCCTAATCCTTAATGAGAACAGAGATAGATTCTTAGTATTCTGCACTGGTAGGGAATTGTTCGTGGCTTTGGTCAGTGAACAAGATTTCATATACCAGAGCAGTAATTCCAGCACTGACAAAGGGGCCGAGCCAGTTGACCCAGTGGCTGTCCCATGTCCAGCTGACCACAGCATGGCCGAAAGACACAGCCGGGTTCATGGATGCACCATCGAAGGCACCACCGGCTAAGATGTTAGCACCTACAATGAAGCCAATGGCAATGGGGTCAATGATCCCCAAGTTAACCTTCTTTGTATCCACTGCAGTGGCATAAACTGTGTAAACCAGTCCAAAGGTCATCACTATCTCGAAAATAACTGCATTCCAAACTGTCACTCCAGATGAAAGTGCAAAAGCTGATGTTTCCTGTAAACAAGGATTGAACATTAGCCTATTTGTTAATAGTAATGGACTCGACTGGAGAATTCAGTAAATAAGATTCAACTTAGGAGTCCGCTGGTGGCAAACTTAAGAAGCAAGCATGCAGCAACAGATCCAAGTAATTGGGCAATCCAGTATAGGATGCTCCTAAACAATGTGATGTGACCACCAACAAAGGCACCAAAGGTGACAGTAGGGTTTACGTGGCCGCGGAGATGTTAGCCCCGACTGAAACTGCAACAAAAAGTGCAAAAGCGTGCACTATTGCTGCAGCAATTAGGCCAACCGGCGTGGTCGATCCATTGTCTGTAAGCTTAGCTGTGGAAAAAGTCAAAATCCTAATGATTTAATTCTCAATTTCTAACAATTTAAACTTTTAGATAGATTAGTTCAACAGAACTACTTACCATAAGCCATGTCAAAGCCTTCACCAGCAAAAACAAAAATCAACATTGAAATGAAGTCAGCCACGGCAGCCTTGAGGGCGTCCAACTGGCTGGCCTCGGCTGGAGATCCTACAGCTACTCTCGAAATAAGCATTTTCTTTCAAATTTCAACCTTAAAAACTCAAGAGAAAGCCATTAACCTGCCCCCTTTTTACCTCTGTTTTGCTCGTTACACTGATCTTATTTAAAACAGCAGCTATATATAGTAGACTAATACAAGGCCCTTTATTGGATGCCACTTTTACTTGTCTGTAAGGGGGGACGCCAAATTGTTGTGGAGTTGCCACGTGGCACTTTGAATGAAGAAAATATACAGCCTGCCAATTATAGTGTAGAATGATGAACACGATGGAAAATTCTGGCAGCCGACCAAGATTTGAGAATTTGGGTCCACAAATGATTCATCATAATATTTGATTAAACCGACCATTTCTTGATTATTAGTCTAGCTAAGCTTGTGGTTATGACCTTTCTATTTTTTAGATAATCCCGGAGTTTTGGGACGATACTCTTGCTGATCTATGAATCAGTAAATTTGATAAAAAATAGTATAAGAAATCGTGGATACAATTCATAACGGAATTTGCGGACAAGAGTATAAAAACAGTTAGCCTATGTTTGATATTCATTATTTTGAAAAAATAATGTTTTAAATAATGATTTTTTGGATAATGTGTAGTTAAAAAGTATGAAAAATTTTGGAGAAATTTTTTTTTGGATTATGTGAATATGATTAAAAATTGGTAAGAGAATTAAAGAGTTTTATTTTAAAGAGAATCAAACGCGGGCTTATAATGGGTTGTTGAATATTTAGGAGGTATTCTGGGCGGTGATCTAAAAAGCTCGCTTAAGCGCCGCCTAGACTTAAAACTCGAGCAAAATGCATCGCTTCGTGCCTAGACACTCCTAAACGGCTGATGTTTTTCCTTTCTATTTTTTGTTTACCCTGGGAGTGCTTTATTAGTTTTTTTTTTTTTTTAAGTCTTTTATTTGACTTTAGCTTATTAATTTTTTTATTTTAAAAAAAGCCTTTTCATTTAAATTTAATTTCAAATTTTTAAAAGATATTATTTTTACAAAAGTTAAAAATGACTTTATCTAAATAGTTTAATAAGATTTAAACCATGTTGCTAGCTATATTATGTAATTATGATATTGAGACTCGTTATTTTGTTGTAAACTCCAAAAGCATTTATGAAGTTCCTATATATTTATTATGACTTGTCTAGTTGAAAATTGAAACTATGAAAAATATTATAATTTTTGCATTTCAAAAACTTGAAAAATTGTATAATTGACTAATGATAGAAATTATTAAATATAATATTTTATAATTTAGATGTTTGATATGTATTATTTTAATTATTAAATGATTTTAAAAATGATTAAAGATTTAAAATAATATTAAAAATAAGAAAACATTTTTTTACGCCTAAGCCTAGCCTAGGCTCACTTAAACTCGTAAAACTTTAAGAGTCCGTTTGATATCCATAATTTTTCATTTTCCATCTTTTGCCTTGTTTGATAGGCAAATTTTCCTTGGGAATTGTTTTCCTCCCAACCCTCATTTTCCTTATTTTCATGGAATTTGTTTTCCCACCACTTTGGTGGGAAAATGGTTTTCCACCCTTTTTTTTTGACATTGGAATAATTTCTGTCAACAATGGTAAAATTGTTTTTCCTTTAATGGACAATTTACATACAAAACAAAGGCAAACGAATGGTATTTGGTATGATAATTTTTTTTTTTGGCAATTGGAACAAATTCTAGACCCAATGATAGAAAAATTATCACTTTAATGGTAGTCATAGTGTGTAGTTTAACAATCTTTAACTTATCAAAATAATTAATACACAAAATTATTGTTCACTCTTTTATTTTTGAAAAATACCGTTCAATATACATAAATCTCCAAAAACTCAAAATTTCATACATTTCCCTATAATTCACTGAAATGCTTCCTTAAATTAGAACCCCTAAAACCATGCTTGAAAATTGGCTTAATCTTCATCTTACATCCGTACTAAATCCATAAAAATCGCGTAGACTTTAAAGTTTCACAACCCTAATCCTAGAAACATGGTAGTCCTAAGTTGAACACTTGGCTACAATTATGACGTCTTAGGGATGTAAACGAGCCGACTAGCAAGCTCAAAATTACACCTCAAGTGTGGCCCGAGAAAAAATGGCTTGGGCTTTTATGTCCTAAGCCGAGCCGTCAAAAAACTAAGACTTGGCTCGAGCTTTAGGCTCGGGCCTTATTAGACCGAGCCGGTTCTTTTTTTTTTTTTTTTAAGACAAGTGGTAGATAGTCACCTGCCTAAAGGCTGCTTGCAAGCAGGCAAGCAATCGTCTGCAAGGCAATCGGTTGCCTGCCTAAAGCTGCTTCAGGCAAGCAATCGGGCCTAGACACGAGTTGACTGGAGCTTGAGCCATCATTCAAAAAAGAGGCTCGATTCCGTCGAGCCATGAGTAGGTCGAGCTGGCTCAAGCTTTTTACGAGCCGAGCCGCTGGCCACCTCAACTAGATTGACATCCCCATAACGTTTGGACTAATAGGTTGAACATGTGGCTGCCGAGATGTCAACTTTGCAACAAATGCTGGTGGTTTTGGGAATTTTAGATGCTACGTGAGATTTAAGGTATTGGGCATTATTAAGCGTTATTGATTAAAAGATGAAGCGATTAAGTGTGTCACATATGATGTTTATGATAGTCACTCAGTATGAATAATATTACTCTTCTTAATTACATTCATTTATCTAGCTTAGTGTAAATTTCCCCAAAGACAAATCAGAATAATAAGGTTCAAATTGCCAATCTTACAAATACCGAATAAGTCTATTTTGTATGCTTTTCTGAGCTTATAATATGTCAAACTTAGAAGTAACTTCCAATGTTATAAAAAGGGGACCGAACCGGTCGGTTCAACTTGAAAAATCGTGAACCGACCTCAAAACCAGTCCAATCATCATACAATAACCCGATCATTGAACATTGGTAAAAACTTATTGACCGAACCGATTTAACCGTAAACCGGACACGGTTTATAAATTATTATTACATTTTTTACAAAATATTTTAAGTCCCTTTTGGGCCCACTTATTATATTAGTAACCCCATTTCTTATTTGTGGCCAAAGGGTGCTGATTTTATAGGAGAATCCACTTCCATAGCATTGTTGAACTTCCGATGTGAGATGTGTAAATACAACTAACAATATAATTTATAAACTCACTGGTTGCCATGTTAGCTGCCAACTTCATTTGTTTGAACTTTGAAGCATTTATGTTTTGATTTTGCTTGGAAGTTACATAAAAGTAAAGCAAAAAATTAAAAGTAATTTGTATTAATATTGATCATATTTCCTCTGTGTTTACCATTCCACGTACTAGATAGCCTTTAAGTGACATTTACCATTTTTTAACTTTCCATTAATGCCCTTCAATTTATGGTATCTGTGTTTGGCGAGAATGACTTGCTAGGGTTAAAATGGTGGAGGGTGTCTTTGTACATTTCCAATTAGCATATGAGGGCAAAACAGGCTGAAAAGTCTCAACGGTATTATCCAATTTATATCCGTTCTGACTTCTTGTAGCGTGCTATCATGTCACTACTATAGGGAAATGAGATGTGTTCCAAAAAAAACTCATTAAAATGAGTACCAAACGGGGGCTTAGTTCAAATTAAATCAACGGCTGAGATGATTCCACGTGGTTGACTTGTAGCCCTTGATTTAGGTTAATTGGCTTTCTTTTATAGGCCCCCAAACACCTACAATTGTTTAACACCGAACAATAAATGTTCTGTGTACGCTTTCATAACCAAGGGCATTAAAATTTACAACTTCTTAAATTCAATAATTATGAAGTACAAATAGATAATGAACCCATTTTCTATTTCTAAGTTAAAATATAGAGTCTATTGAAACCTAGTTTTAAGGATGACTCTTTAAAATATAGAACTTTAAGGATGATTCTTTAAAATAGAGAACATTTATGCTCTATGGCAGTTTAGAGGACATTTATGCTTAGTTTGGTAAGATTCGTGGAGCCATAAATAGGGTTAGGTTTTGTATTTACTTCTGATACAATCATCTCAAATTGAATAGATTCAACCAAGCTCATCGTTAGATGATCTTGCTAGCCAGCTTCCATGCACTAAAAGAACATTGAGCAAGAGTCTTGATCCCGATCACAACGGGACAAGTCTATAAAAAAAAAAGTGGAGAGTCGAGTTTAACTGGCCACATACTTGAATTGGTCCTACTGGACTCTACTCATTTATGATTGTGAGTCACCTTCGGACCCTCTTTGACCGTTTTGACTCCACTATGATGATATCTAGAATAATATCATAATAGAAGCCAAAAAGCAAACAGAAAAATATGGATAAAAAAATAGGAGAGTTGAATAAGAGTATGAAACGGGAGGAAAGAATGTTGAAAAGGTATTCATAAAAGAATTACCTTTTATAACTAACAAAACCGCGTAATGAATATCTTGCTTTTAAAATTCACCTGGGGATAGAAAAAAGAAACTCAATCCCTATAAAAGGAATAACAAATAATAATTTAATTGGATGGTCGTTGACTATAAATGAGAAAGAACTGCCTGTCTGTGACTGTATGTTGTGTGTTTGGAGGGAAAAGATTATAATAAAATTTATTTACAGTAATAAAAGACAGTTCTTCAAGACATGGAAAGGAAAAAATTGCATAAGAATTATGTGATCATAATTCTTTTGGAAGGTTTACAAATTATGTGAATTGGGCAGTTTGTGAGGAAAAAATAATCTCTCTCTCTCTCTCTCTCTTGCAATTAGCTGCTATATATTCGTTCCACTCTACTTTCTTCAACTCCTATTTCCCCTCAAGAATTTTTTCTTCACCCTTGTTGCAGGGAGATGGAAGAAATGGTTTGGTGGAGTTATCAAGAGGTAGGCCACTCACTCATGGTTGATTAATTTTCTTGTTTTGCCTAGGCAGATTTATCGGCGTTTATATTCTATGCAAATTTGTTCTCATGGTGCTATGGTCCTGGACATTGCATCTTTTTATGTTGGCTATGAAAGCTTCTTTGTCATAGAATTGTAGACATTTCTCTCTTTCCTCGTCGCGCTCCCTGCTTTCGTGCATTTGTGTCTGCCTGTGGAAAATGGAAGGCTTTAACACATTTGGGATGCAAGAGTAGTCATGATCAAGTAAGAGAGTCGCACAAAATTATATTTGTCATCCTGTCCAGCCGTATCTTGGTACATTACTAGATTTTGTGTGCACGCGCACTTATGAGTGTGACTGAGAGTGCGCGTGAACGTTGATGGTATATTTGGTATGACGGTATATTGATCTGATATTCCATTACAATCTTACTTCCTGATTCAGATATGATGTCCATGATCGTGTATACGTTCTTGTGTTTTCGTTTTCTCAAAGGATTTTCCTTTTTTTTTTTTTACAGAATATTGATGAAATGAATCAGAAGCTTATGTACGCAATTCTTGAACTTGAGAAATTGAAAGTAGATGCAAGCGAGGAATCGAGGAAGAACAAGGAATACGTGATGCAATTAATCCAACTCCTAAACATTACCATTCAAGAAAGAGATGAAGCTCGAAACCAACTTCAGAAATTACTAGAGAAGTTTATGCTAACTTCATCAAACGAAAGTTTGAATATTCTTCCACAAATTCATGTCGATAATCCTCTTCTAAAAGCCCGCAAAACAAATTCTAGCATAAATGAGTCCACTCAGTCCAACATTTCTTCTCCAGTTGATGTGCTGTTTGATGCAGTATCATCTCCTGAATTCTCAAACTTCAACATGCTTTCAACCAATCAGGTCACTTCCGGTGTTCCAAAGATCTTCAACATGCTTTCAACCAATCAGGTCCCTTCCGGTGTCCCAAAGATCGATTGTGCTTCTTTGATTATTGACAACCTTGTCAAGGGAAGAGTCCTGCCTCAGACAGGAAAATTACTTCGGGCTGTTGTTGAAGCCGGGCCACTTCTTCAAACACTTCTGGTGGCTGGCCCGTTACCTAGGTGGCAAAATCCTCCCCGGCTTCAGCCTTTTCAGATTCCTCCAGCTCCTATAAAAGGCTATGATCAAGAGAATTTTGCCCAGATGTCCTGTGGATCTTCACAAATTTCATCAGCACCTATGTTAAATTTCGCAAATGTACCTCAGGGATCTAGTTTACGCAATGGTTTAATGATGTCTACCTCAACAGATGCTTACAGTTGTATACCTTTAGCCAACAGTCACAGTTTCTACCGGAAATTCGAAGGGTATCCTCCTTCCAATCTTTCTATGCACGAGCCCGGTGGAGGTGTAACTTCATACATTGATAGTGATTTGAGCTTAGATTCTTGATTTCATAAAAATTCAGTTCCTTTTGTTAAACATCCTTTTTTATTTTTAAGCTATATTTTCCAATCTAATCCAGTTCCTGCTGCTGCCCTTTCTTGGACTTGTTCCATTAAGTTTCTGGGCAAGCACTCGTAACTTGTTTCGTTAAGACTAATATTGGTTTAATTATCAAGCATAAAACATCTTATTTTCACTAATGGAGATGACAAAAGAGCACAAGAAAAAGTCCCATTTTGCTGTCATATGTCAATAAAATTAGTTCATATGATCGAATTTCCGACGTATGTTCCACCTCAGTTCCTTGTTATCTCCTTTGTACTTATTAATTAAATATTTACTATAGATTAGGACAAATTATTTGTATTTTCTTAGTAATAATCACCTGTGTTAGCTGTTTCATTTGATCATTGTAGACTTCAAAAATATGGTTTTCTTGATTAGTACATTCTTAAATTATCAGAAAACAGATTTGTTTTTATAATGTTCCAATGTCCAACACCTTCTCCAGGGACTGAACTTTCTGACTGGAATCCATGGGTTATGGTTTCGGTTGCCGTGGTTTGCATCATAACCCTTTTCTTCAGTTGTTTTAGGATTCTACAACGACAATGTACGCCGTTTCTTGCAGTAAATCTGTTGAGAAATTCCGTCCAAAGTCGACGCCTAGACGAGAATCCTGAAGCTTCTCCTTCGCTGCAGTATGAGAGCCGGGGTCTCAACTCCTATATTATGCACTCAATTCCCATAACTCGGTTTGAGAAAAATAAGGATGGAGAATCTTGTGCAGGCAATACAGATTGTGCTGTTTGTTTGGGTGAATTTGAAGAAGGGCAATGGGTGAAGCATTTACCAAATTGCTCTCATGTATTCCATGTTTCTTGCATTGATACATGGTTTCAAACACATTCAAGCTGTCCACTCTGTAGATCGTTCATCTACAATCCTGCGATGCAGCATGAATGTTCAGTGTCGATTTACTCATTGCTAGGAGCTCTACATCGCAAAGACTTCCTTCGAGAAAGATCCGAAAACTACCAAGTTTCAAGGGCACAAATATTACAACATGTTTCGCTTTGAATTGATGCAGAAAATGGCTGTTGAATATAGTAGCAGAATCAGCCATTTTGTGTTTTTCAGAAGATGGGAAGTAACTAATTGAGAATTTCAGAACTGGTTCACGAACTGTATGATTCGCTGTACGGAAACAATGGACGGTGTAATGAACAAGATTTTAGTATTTTTCCTTTCTTTAATAATGTCTAATACTATATAATTTAACGTCCCAAATATTTCCTTAGTTTGATTCTTCAGTAGATCAAAACAAATCACTTTTCGAAGATCTTTTCCTCATGTTGCCCATCGAAGAAATTCTGACCACTAGTCCGAATGGTTTGTAGATTCCGAACTGCTATAGTAGTTGAACCTAATGAGATAGCAATTACAACCCAAAAGGCAATTATGGGATCTGTCCCTGGATTTTTCTTTCTTTTCTTCTGCCTCATTTCGCTTCAAGGAGTAAATGGGCATTGAAAAAGAAATAAGAATAAGAAGTATTGAGTTTATTATCATATCCTAGTGTTTAGCTATTTTTTCGCCGGGCCTCTAAGTCACCAATTAACGCAAGAAATGATGTGATGGAGATGAATTACATTTTCACATGTCAAATTTTTAATTAAAAATAAATCCAACTCATAAAATGAAAATAAATTCAACTACCCATTTAATTTATAAAAGCTTAATTGATGACTAGAAATAAATATCAGTTTGTAATTAATATATGATTTAGTAGACTTGCTAAAATTACTTATTGAAAGCGAGAACGTTGACCTTTATGAATCTATCCAACGGTTAAGGTTGGCTCTCGCAACTAACAGAACGTAAAATTTCAGGTAAATCAATCAAAATAAATGTTGGTTGACCAGTGGACCCCAGTTCTAGTCGGACGTGGCTCCCTTGTAGTATCAACAACGTTATAGACCTAGACAAAACAAAAAACCCGCCGGCTCTCCGATCAAATCAGATCAAACGTCCAAAAACCCAACAAATTCTCACTCTCACTGGTACTAATTTCACAAATCGACTTCGCATTACAGCTATTTCGCGCGTACTGTTCCGATTCTTGGTGAGTTTTGTATGCGTGTATGTGGATTCTTGTTTATGTTGAATATGTTGATCCTAATTTTTTCTATATTTTTGGGTTTTGGTGGGTTGGTGATGTGGTGAAGAGGGGTGGCGGAGGTGGATGGTATATGGCGGAGCTGCTTCGAAAATGGAAAGAGAACAAACTGTTCAAAGTGGTTTTTGCAGTGACTGGAATCATGTCCACTCTCGTCGTCTATGGGGTCTTACAGGTAAAGTTCTCTCATTTACAACAGTCATTATTTTGGAAGCCAATTACATTTTTCGAGTTTTAGTTTTAAATCACTAGTAAACAGCACATTAAATAATTGTTACTGTGGATATCGGATTTGTGGAATCTCTTTATCTAACAATTCTATGGGTCGTCAAGTTTCCCTTACCGGGATTTGATTATTTGCTTTGGGAAGAAAAGAAAAGATAGAGTGAAAGGAATGTTAATGCTCGTGTTTTATCTTTTAAATTGCACAGTTTTGGTACACCCATACTGATAAAGGTACTTTCATAGTCACTGACCACAATTCCAAAATCATCTTATTGCTCTATGTATCCAGTATCGATTAGCTTTATAAATGAGAGATCTTATAAACCAAAGTATATTCAAATTCCTAAGTTTGTTTTAGCTAATCTTATGAATCTTTTCCAGTTTCTAATTGACTGAGAATGGTAACTGGTTGAAACCTAAGCATGATCAGATATTGAAAGGAGGTCATGAAATTGATATCAGGGTGCGGTGGTGGTGATTTTGGATGCTTTCTTGGAGGAAGTGGTGGTTTTGATGATCGATTTGGTGTGCTAATTGTGGCTGTGATCTTGATAGCGGCCTAGCAGCTGCCATAGATTAGAGTTGGGTTCATATGTGAAAACAGCAATGGTGTAAAATTTAATTTTTTATATAGAACAAAACTAATGTCACTTTGGAACAGCCAAGAAAGGTAAGGCATTCAATTTGAAAAGGGGAAATTAGCACATTATGTCCCTACGTTACACTATTATTGTACAAAACGTTCTTACCTTCCATTTTTTGGCATTTTCACCTTCATTACACCTTTGATTGTGCAAAATGTCCTTTCCGTCCATTTTCACCAAACTTCTACGTTAAGTGAATGCATGTAGTCAATTTTTTTCAAAAGAGAAGGGTATTCTCGTCTTAGAACATTTTTTCCCTTTCTTCCCTTCTATTTTTCCCATTTCTTCACCAACACAAATTAAACAAAACCCACCTAACAAGGTGCTGAAATATCATAGATCTAGCAATAGAGAAATCCAGTAAATACCAGAATCACAATAATTATAATAAATCATCAAGATTATACATGCATTATGAATCAAGAACTTAGATGCACTAATATCATAGAGATTTCAACAACCAAAAAAGGGAAAACTTGTCAAGAACCCAGACATCAGTTTATAAAACCCCAATTATAGAATTCAGGGAAAAAGAATGCACCTCGCACTAGGGGCCCTCCTGGGTACTTTAGGCTCAAACCCCACATGCAAGCCCAAGAACCCATCAAATCTATCAAAGGTAACATGATTAACATGCTGCACATCAGTCGGCCATCCAATCTCCATAACACCTCGACCACAGTTGGCGTTGCTGACACAAGAAAACTCTTCTCTATCCGTCTTGCAAGACAACCAAAAACTCTTTCAAAAGAGTCACCAAAAGTGCCAAAAGAGACTGTTGAACCATCCTGTCCTTCTCCCTCTTCTCCTTCACACTATTTTCCTCCTCCTCTATGTCACCGCCCGTCACACCAGAAACCCCCTTACCCGCATATAACTGAGTCTGATGAAGCAATATGGCATTATGAATAGATGTGGACTCTGTCATTCTTACAAGGGTTGAACAAATCAATAACTGGAAAAATATGCATTTCACATATGACACAAGGGAAAAAAGGGGGAAAATGTTCTAAGACGATAATACCCTTCTCTTTTGAAAAAAATTGACTACACACGTTCACTTGACAGAGAAGTTGGATGAAAATGGATGGAAATGACGTTTTGCGCAATCAAATGGGTAATTAAGGGTAAAAATGGAAGGTATAGACGTTATGTGCTAATTACCCATTTGAAAAGAGGAATTGTGCACGTGCACGCATCCTTTTAAGTGCTTGTAAAAGCCAAATAACAAACCCAAAATGTTTACATGAAAGTCAATCTGAAAAAGAGGGATCATACGATAGTGCATGTACATGCTTCTCAAAGCATTCTCATGTATTTCATTTGGAGTGCTGTATGGTTTTTCGAAGAATGAGTTTGGTATTAGTAGCTAATTTACCTTTCCTTGAACACATTGAAGCCAAGTTGCGGAAAAATTGGTTAAGATGTTTGGGACACATTAAAATAACATGGATAGATGAATTAGTGTGGAAACTGATGTAAATTAATATTAACGACAAATTTAGAGGATAATGTCAATCTAAAATATCCTGAATGAAAATGCAAATGGTAATCTTTGTGATTTAATTGTGGGAAATGGCTCTTGTTAGGGTAGATTGGAAGAAGAGATGATCCAGGACAAGTATTAGATAAGATTTTGTTAAGTAGTTAAGTTGAGTTGTATATGAGAGGAGAAGGAAAAAGAAAATGTCTTGCAAGAAAAGGACAATATGTCCAAATGTTGCATTTTCTGTGTTGTTACTTTGCTTATTTCTTAATGAGAAGATGGTAAAGAAGAACACAGGATTATCTAGCTAACCATGCACTCTTTTTCTTGTTGGATAAGGAATTTGAGTATTTTTCTCCATCACGGTCTATATCGACATCCACGCTACGTTGCCTCATCATGTGGATACTTTGTTAGAATGTCTTTCTGTCTGCTTCATGCGAATGATCACAGAGGGTTGATCTCTGGTTCGCCTATCTGTCTATCTTCTAAGAGAAGTCGTATTAATATTGCTTAGTTTAGTATTTTTTTCTCCTTTGAAATAAGAAATATTTTATTATCATGATTGTTAATTGTCAGTCTTATTGTGGTTCATAAACCGAAATTATTTCTACATAAATTAAATGAAATTTGTTTCTTGCAGGAAAAGATTATGAGAGTTCCATATGGCCCTCACAAAGAGTACTTTAAATACTCACTGTTTCTTGTCTTCTGTAACCGCATTGCAACTTCTGCTGTATCTGCAGTAGTTTTACTGGTAACTCCACTTTAATGCTTGATTCATCAGTTTTCTTACTTTTACCAAGCTCTCACATTTAATTCAAGTGTCCTGGACCTGTAAAAACTCGTCATATTAATATGATTTAGTCCTGCTGCCTGTCTTACTGCTAGGCAGGTATAATTCACCAAATTTACGAGTTAGATGTCAAGACGTTTTCAGTATTTTACATGTATGTTCATTTTTTCTTGTCATTCTCTTCTCTAGGCGAGTGGGAAGGCCCTAGACGCTGTTGCTCCGCTTTACAAGTATGGTATCATATCAGTGTCTAATATACTTACGACAACATGTCAGTATGAGGTAAGCTGTGCTCCCTTCTGCTGAAAGACAGATTGAATATACACTGGTTTTCAAATTTCCAGCATAAACATGTTCTTTTATTTAGTTAGTGTAAATGATATTTTGTATTTACATTCGAGTTTTAAGATGCAAAGAAAAATGCGTAACATGAAATTTTCTGGCTATGCTTGCTCCAGGCACTGAAATATGTCAGTTTCCCAGTGCAGACACTGGCAAAGTGTGCCAAAATGATACCTGTAATGGTAAGATAGTAGTACTGTTACTCATTGAGGAAATAAAAGTACAGAACTTAAGTTACCATTCTGTTAATAATTGCCATTGTTTTGTTACGAAGGCTTAATTTAAAATTTCTAATGTTCACGAGTCTTCTAAGGTTACGGTTTGGCCATTTGGCCAATATTGTCCTTGCTTGATGCATTTGCCAATTTGTATGGTCATTAATTTTCCATCCCATTCATTGCCTATGAATGTAATATATTTTTCTTTTGATCTAGTTTTTTCGTATCCCTATTATAACTTTGCAGTGTCTCTATTCTTACTTCTTTGATCACCTTTCAAATGGAGATTACGAAGTTGACCACCGAATCCATAAGATTGAATATTGTGTTTAGCAGCATCCATACTTTAATTTCATGTTGATTATTTTACTCTTAATTCCATTGCTTGTTTTCAGTTTACTATGTGTAAGCCAGGTATAATACAAGTTATATCCTGACCAATATGAAGTCATAGTGCATTAATTTAATCGAGCCAATACAAATCAATAACGTGCCTCATAGAAGTTATCTTCTTGCTTATTTATTAAGAAAAATGAAGTCTTTTTCTTGGTTTGTTTTTATTCAGAGTTCATTTTGTGTGCATATGCAGTTCTACTAAGATTTGCATACAATGCATTTTCATTTGTGACTTTTCCCCTCATTTTTATTAATTTTCTTTCCCCCATCTTCCTGTGCAGATCTGGGGCACTGTCATCATGCAAAAGAAGTACAATGGGCGTGATTATCTACTTGCCTTTTTGGTGACTCTTGGATGTTCATTGTTCATTTTATACCCGGTTAGACTCTCATTCAATTTTTGGAATTGAAATGACTGTGTCAAACACTATTGGATTTGCATCAGTAAACAAAAAATTGGGTGCCACAGATTTCTTGGTGTCAATGAATTTGAAGTATCTTAATAATTTTTGGATTTGTTTAATCATTTAACGGTAAGAATGCAGACATCAAAGGCATTTGTTGTCAGTTACCTTTATAGATAGCTTGTTAAGCAAAAAATTTTATCCTCCAAGGTGCATTTCTATGTTCTTTGTGAAATAATAAGTTCCTACATGTAAACAAATCGTGCAAGACATTATTTCTTTTTAAAATTTTCATCAGCCTTCTTTTCTTTTTTGAACCCATTTTTCCTCCAACTTCAATATATAAGGAATGTTGTTGCATGATTGGAGAGGGTTGAATGAGATGGATTAGTGCTAAAAGTCAAAGATGCTTATAAGGTCAAAAGACGGATTCAACAGATTCTACAAAATGATTTTTTGACCTGTTATTTGATGGTTGGGTCGTTGAAGGACAAAATAACAGCAAGATGAACATAGGGAAAATGAGGATGCTAAGATGCATGATTGTACTGGAATGAATAAGATAAGAAATGAGAATGTATGCCAACAAGTGGAGGTGACATTAATTGATGATTAATTAAGGGAATTATGGCTTGGATAGTTGGGACATGTCTTGCATAAAATCTAAAGATAGAAGTTTGTGATCCTAGTTGAACAGGCTACAGAAGGGAGGAGTAATCCAAAATTTACATGGCTTGATCTAAGAATTTGATTGCATTGGATCTTTGAATATATGCAGTAGACCCCAATTTTACCGTTAATTGATGGGATGATGCATGCCTCTAATTATATTGCATTTGCTTATTTAGTAATTAATGACGAATGGTTTTACTCTTTGAAATGTAGGCTGCAGGTGATATTAGTCCTTATAGCAGAGGAAGGGAAAGCACAGTTTGGGGTGTTTCCTTGATGCTCGGTTATCTTGGGTATGGTATAATAATTCACCTACCCTCATATAATCAAATGGGGAACCAAAGAATTTACTGGTGTTACCATTTGGGACTGTTTCGATCATTTCCAATAGTACAGGGGCGGGGATGGGAGCATTTGAAATTAAATGAACCTATGTCATTTCCCCCTTTCACTGTTGTCATTTTCTCTTTCTTTTCTTGGTTTCTTTTTATTCGGAATGCAAGGAAATGCTTGCATTTCCCAATTACACCCTTAAAACCAATTTCAAAATGGAGATCAAATGTGATATGTGCTGAATGCCACTATGTATGAATAATTAAGATGTTACTTTAACCCTGGCTGTTTAATAAGGTTACAGGTAATTTATATATGTTCCTAACTTTTACTTTGCTAACTTGCCGTTGCAGGTTTGACGGCTTCACAAGTACGTTCCAGGATAAACTTTTCAGAGGTTACGATATGGAGATACAGAATCAGATATTCTACACAACATTATGTTCATGTATACTCAGTTTCACTGGTAAGATTATGTTTCAATCAGTATCACATTTCTTGTAGTTTTCGAACTTGTCTTGTAGCTGCAATTTTTTTTACAGATTTTTGATGTTTATTAGCTCCAACAGTTGGAAAAAGATGATCCTACATCTCTGCTAATATATTTTAATTGTTCTTGTCCAATCTGGATCGTTATTTCATAGCACCTCAAATTTTTGTTTTATTCCGATGTTGTTTTGATTTGATGGTTCGGCTTATTTTGTATAGGTCTAATCTTACAAGGCAATCTTCTAATGGCAATAGATTTTGTTTCACGGCACAATGATTGTTTCTTTGACATCACAATCCTCTCAACTGTAAGTTATGAAAGTACAGATTTTCCTCTTTTCTTTCATATATCGATTTGTTCAAGACTTCATGCAGCATTTCTTTTGCTTATATTCATCTGTTTACGTTTACATCTCTTATATTGCAGGTTGCAACAATTAGCCAGTTCTTTATTTCTTACACAATCCGAAATTTCGGCGCTCTAACCTTCGCCACCATAATGACCACAAGACAGGTACAAAAACAATTTCTCATGTTATTTGATGAGAAACACTGTTAAAAAAGCTGGCCTTAGTGCGTTCTTTCAGTTTTTACTCACAAATGATTCGTGTAACTTTTCTACTCGTCAATACAGTTGGTGAGCATTCTGCTATCCTGTGTGTGGTTTGGCCACCCAGTTAGCGTGGAACAATGTATTGGATCGGTAAGTGTAAATCTTAACCCCTAATCAGGGCAAGGATGGTGAACAATATTGAATTGGACTGAACAATATAATGGACAAGATTCTTTTTCTTCCTTAATACTTTATTGTATTGTCTAATCCACTTTACTGAATATGATGTAAATGTTTTGACGTTAACAGAATTTTGATTGGTTGCATATTTTTGCTGTATTTTGTTGCTCAGGTTATCGTCTTTGGGTCCCTTTATGCAAAAAGCTTCTTAACAAGTAAGCAAAGGCAATTACCCTCAGAACTCTCCGAAAATGGATCTTCGAGTCCATCGAGGGCAAATGCATAGTACATTAACAGTACCAGTTGGGACTGGTATTCCCTAATTCTCTAACTATTTGTCAAAAGATGGATCCATATGGAGATAATTCGACCTAAAAACATCTTGGATTTATGCTAACAGAGGTTCAAATGCTTTCAGAATATCTCTGAATTGACCTGCACCTGACAGTAGAATGAATAAGCATACGTAACATGGAATTTTTGGCATACTTCTTTTGTAACCGAATTATTTATTGGTTCTCGAGATAAATATGTTGGTCTAACAGAAACTGGCTTTCGATTCTTGGTCACGAAAGGTGGATTATGTTGTACTGAGATCAGAAGAATGTTTCCCATATTATTTAATTCTTATTTTGAACTTATTTCAATTTTTGTTAAAGGAATGCAATAGAAAAGCTTTTTTTCTGTTCTTCTTCTTCTTCTTCTTCTGGGAAACAATGTGTATCGAGGTTATTTGTGATGTAATAATTGCATAAATAACTCTATAAACAAGCCAATGGAATACCTAATAACCAATATTTTTGGTTAGATTTATTTTTATCTACTTATAAATATAAAAGTCACTTAGGTAAGTGGGAATTATACATATAAAATAACTTCCTTGTTTTAACTTCAATCAACAAAAATTATTGCTTATTATAAACATTACTTGTTTACTTGTAAATAAACATAGTTTTTAAAGTTATTTTATTTTCTCCAATTTCATTTGTAAAGTTACTTTTTTTTTTGCTTAAGACAAATTACTTTTTTCATAATGTAAAATTTTAATTACTTCTTTAAAAATGTAACTTTCATGGATAGTTTAGTGGAACTTCATCTAACCTTGAAGATGCTAATGAAATGAAGATATGCTCCAATAAATTGAACCATTGAATTTTGACAGATTATTTCCCCTCAAATATTTCATTGTTCAAAATCTATTTTAATTTGATTTTTATAAGTTAGTGTCAACCAAATAAAACCTAAAACCAAATTAAAGTGGGCCATTTGCAGACAATACTTTCAGATCATTTAAAATATATGTGTTGGACCAGGACACACGATATTAGATCAAGAACAGAAAACAACAAGTTTGTATACTGAAAATAAAGAGCAGAATTTAAAGAACACAATCGATATGTTTCGGTCTAA